ATAACAGGAAGTAATAACGATTGTGTTGATTATTATACACTGTTAAAGAAAGTTTTGTCAGAAAATTTCAGAGCACAAACTTCACCTATGAATTTCTCCTGTGGGAACCATAAACACAACTCAGCTGCGGCAGAGCCGCGCAGAACCCAGGAATTCTGTAAGATATTGCATCAAAACCAGCTGGACCTTGCAGGCTGCTCTTTCACGCGTTACCTGCTGTTACATGCCTTTATGACCCAAGTTCTTCTGCGCTGAAGCTGGAAGGAATTTTACCATCAGATCTGAAAACAGTTTAAGTGTCATCCATACTTCCATGATACACGTATCACTACACATCTACAGCACAGAATAACAGCACGCTCAGGGGTTATTATTGGACCAGTTTTTGCTCTGTAGAAGTGGGGCAAATAGGCTTATCTAGCACGCTAGGCGGCCTGATCATAATCAGAGAGAGAGGTGCCCTACCTCCAAAAGGTAATTTTTGCTGTCCTACATCACTTACCCAGGGTAGGTGGAGTGAACTGTATCCTCCTATAGGGTGGCATGACAGGATGACAAGAAAGTACGGCTGCCTAACCTTTAGAGAGGTGGGATGGATCCTAACCACCAGGTTAAGTCATAAGAGAGCCTAGGAAATGTATCTTGGGGCTGTTGGAGCTCAGGTGGCGCTGGGTAGTGAGATCATCTGCACACCAGGTTGATGACTTTTCAGACTAATTTCAATTGACTTTGAGAAATGAAAGCAGAGGTGCTAGCAAGATGACTAAAACGCTTTCTACCTAAAAAACAGACGAGGAAGTCCTAGTCATTTCCTCCTGCGTTCGCTGTAACGCTTCTGAGTGACAAAAGTATGTGCGGAGGCTGGTTGCTGTGGTAACACTACTCCACATGAATTGTGGTCTCTCGTGCTCACTACGCGTGGCAACAAAAGTGATGGCAGATAGCGGGGTTTTTTTTTTTAGCCTTTAAAATAAGCCTGGTATGACTAAATTTCAACAGTGATACCTTAGGAATTAAAGAATTGGAAAATTTCCATAACATTGAGGTGTTCTAACTCCATTCCTAAACTACTGCAATTGCTAAATTAAAATGATGAATTAAAAAAAAAACCCAAAACAAAAAAACCCCAGCCCTTTCCTCTTACACCTCTTTTTCTAAACCTATCAGCAATTCATAGCAAACACATTGGATCTCAAAATGTTATATCTGAAAAAATGGGTGGAGTAGTAGTGAGTTTAGTTCTTACTCTGAACTAAAATTCTGTGCAGGGAGAGGCTAATACTGAAATGCGTTATACTTACAGTAGACTGTAATACATGTCAAGATGAACGTAGACCTGAGGCTTAACGTATGAGAGAACTGCCAAAGCTATCCAGTAGCTGACAGGGAATGTGCAAGAGCAGTTAATGCACGAACAAAAGCAACATCTACAGAGACAGCAAAATCTGCCTTGAAACCTCTTCGTGATTACTTAGTGCAGAGTTACATAGCACAGATGGTCTTCTGGGACAGTCTAAGGACTCTCACAATAAAAGGTTGTTTTCCTGATATGGTGACCTGCAGAGCTTTATGTAAATATAGAAGGTACATGCACTGGTACCATTTCTGTGGAAGATCTAGATATTTCTCCAATTCAACGGTAACAGTGCTTTGCTCCAGGATAATACTCGAGTGCAGCAGGAAAGGGATCCAGTGGTTGAAAAGATGGCCTGATTCCCTCTGATCCAGGACTGTCCAAATACCTCCTGCTGTTAAACTAGTTGCATTTTGAGAGAACTAACAGTGTTTCACACGGTCCAAAGAAAACATTACAAAATCCATTAGGTCAATGCTCTAAGCGAGCTAAAATAAGGATAAAACTTAACCCATCGTATTCGGCTACTTTCTTCCCACAATCTCAACATCAGGTATGAAACTAACTGTTTTCCATGAGCTCTGGTGTTAGATGGAAGAATCCAGGGAAAACCAGCTAACAATCTCTAACACAAGACGGTTCCAGATCTCAGTTGTACCAAAGACAAGGTCAGAGAATCACTTCAGTCAATACTTGTAACCAGGGTGGACTTGAATTCCAATTAAATATTTTGGCCATTTCACGGATCCACAACATAACAACTGTTCTGACATTCTCCTAGCATGTGACAAACGATTAAAAGCACGCTGGGGTAGATTTATGCAGGACTGTACGAATTCTCCCTACTAAACCTACCAACTACATTTTAATTCTACAGTGTTGATGCATTTTCAGCGAGACATCTTCTGCCCTATGGAACTTATCCACAAGTGGAGAAAACAGAAAATGAAGTGCAATGACAGAGAAAGAGGCTCACATAGCACAACAGGAGGTGTTGCACTGTTTTTAACCGCATGGATTTCCTTTGGTAGTTTGCCTCTACACAGAGATGACAAGAGGATGCCTACCCAAAGCCAGCGGCAGTTGGCGCAGTGTGAACTCCTCGCACCTTCTTCTGTGGATCAGAGAAGGGCACGGCCAGCACAGTGAGCAAAGGCCAAGGACATGAAGTTTAAAAGGCCAAACCAAAGGCCAAATGAATCCCAAGCCATTAATTTTGGAAAGGTCTTTCTTTATATGCCTCTCATACTCCCCTGTTCCTATCTCTTGCCAAGAAAAAAAAAAAAGGGAACAGTCTCAGAATTTTAATGCTGCATTAACACTAGCTTCTTGCATTTACATTATCCTGATTTACTGCAGAGTGAGGAGGAAGAATGAAAGGAGGGCAACGGCCTTCCTGAGGTGCAGGAACGCTTCTTTTGCCAGAGAAGCCTGAGCTTGAAGCATTTCTTCCAAATCTATGCGACTTCCAAAAATAAATCACATGCACAAATAAATCACACAAAAATCTAAAGCTATGAGTAAAGCAGCCAACAAATTAACTCAGTCTAGCAGATATTTCAAGTCAAAAATAAACATTATCCACACACAACCACATTTCAGTTCAGAAGAAAACCCCAAGGCCTCTGTTCAGAAAGGGCATCCCAAGCCAGACAGAGAGCTTGAACAAATGCCTAAGTTTAGTCATGTATTTTAATCCCACTGACTTCACTAGGATTTAAACGTTGGCTTAATTTATGCATGCTTAACTTTTAAAGTGCTTTGCTGGGTATGGGCCAAAGGAAACGGATGCCTCTTGGAACTTGTCCTAAAGAGTCAAAACATTTCACCCTAACACCAACGACCAGAACAGTTAAAGCAGGTCCCAAAGGCAACGACGCACTAAGAAAACGCCTTCCCATGCGCATTCCCTTTCTACCTGGGGTCGGAGCCACAAAGCTCTCCCCCACAGATCCTACCGGCATGGGTGGGAGTTCTGCCAGTAACTAGCTCCAAACCTAAAAACGGGTAAAACAATTCTGGTGAGGGTCTAGCAGAACTGACTCTGACTCTAGACGCAGCGTGCAGTCCCGGGCAGGATTGTCTCCCGTATTTTACAGGGGATCTTGTGCTCCTTTCCGCTCTCCTGGTGTGCTCGGCTGGAGAGTAGCTGCACCCTGTCGCTGTGATCCTTCCCTGAGAAGGAGAGAAGGCAGACAGACATCGGAGCATGAGCAAGGCCCCTGCTGCCACTTACTGACATCAGATCTCACGGATTATAGTTTGCTGAGGAACTTAGTGCATCTCAAACTCAGTCAGCATGAATCCTAGGTCTCTATAACTCAAAAGGCCTATTGCTTAAAATGCCCTACCTCTTTTCAGCACTCCAGCTGAGGCTGAGGGCAAACTCATAAACAACGTCATCAGAAGTGCCTGCAGCTTAAATCTTAATGACTTCAGCACATTCTCCCTGGATTTCAACCATGCTGGGCCCTAAGGAGCAAAAGAAATCACTGCCCCAAGCAGCTCGTTAACGTGACAGACATTCGCAGTGACTAAGTGCTTAGCACTGGAGAAGGGGAAGGAGCGATCTCAGAAGCACCGTGGGCAATGCTTTCAGAAGCACCTATAGGTGACCGTCTTTCACTCCTAAGGATTCAGTTCTAAAAGTCACTGAGCCAATCTAACAGCTTCCTGCTCATGCCCAGGGGTGGCCCTGCTCCCACCTTTCCTCCTCACCCCATCCAGTGGTCCCATCCTCCATCATACTGATCTTAACTCATGTGACCGCTCAAGTGAGCCAATTCAGAGCTCAGCTGGTTCACACCTGGGCCAGGTGAGCCCTACAGCCCACACAGTGGAAGGCATGGGACCATCCCTCCAGCAGCACGGTATTAATTCAGTCGTCTTCTCTTTGCCATGTTCAAACATAGTTACGTTTCAAGCATTTTAGGTGTATGTCCTCAAAGATCAACCAGTTCCTATGCAGGTCAATAAAGATGGTTTTAAATTCATGTTTCAGACCACGTACTAAAACTTGGAAACTAATCAACATACGCTAGGCCCCTCTAGCAGTGGAAAATTCCCAGAACATTGACTAGCTGTTCTCCATAACGCCCTGGCTGACTGCCCACAGTTAGTATTAACTCCTGCCAGGAGACAGTTACACACACACGTACCGTCACTGCTCCTGGAAACCCTTCCTGTCTCATGAAGTATACCTGCAGATAAGCATGCAAATAAGAGTCAGCGATTCCCCTTGCCTTTCTTCAGACACCTTTTAAGGTTTAATAATTACATTTTCTCGATCAACATTTCTCAAGCAACCCGACAACATATTATTGAAACCAGTTTGGACACGTTTGTGAGACAATGGAGAAATATCACTTAGGCTTAACCAGCAAGAAAATTGGGATATCAGAAGTTAGAAGACAAATAAATTTGTAAAAACTATCCTCCACCATTGAGAGTTCAGTCTGAAAAGTATGTACAGGTCCAGAGTACAGATGTGGTTACCTTCAGCTGAAGCTCACGGTTCAGATCTCCCCTTCTTTTTTCTTAAGGAAAGGGAACTTTACTCTTACTATAAGCATTGTTTTAATCCTTTTTTTTTTTTTTTAAACTAGGAGGAACACAAAAATACAGCAAGTACATATGCACAGACATATCTTTTTGCGGACCATAATTTATTTCAATAGTAAGAAAAGGAATAAGTCTCCGTACAAATTAGAAAACTGTTGACAAAGTGTCAGCTAATTACAGTACTAGATCATTTCTCCAGCTATAATTTTGATTTATAAGTCAATTACCCAGGATAATTAATGCATAGGTACATCTCATGCATTAAAAAGTATCTCACTAATACCCTCCAAAGAATAAAATTAGAAAATCAAGCTCATTTGCAGATCACTTCAATCATGTCTGTCATTATAGAAATAAATACATTAATATCCATGTATACCTGCTAGCAAGGAACATCCATCTCTCAGCACAGACAAACCTGAAGATCCACAGATCTAGTCAACAATTCTGCTAATACTCCAGGCTGGTTTAGACTTGTTATGACCACAAATAGCACCTCCCTAGGTGTCCAGCCAAAATGCCATAAGGCTGTATAAGACTAGATCCTACCAGAAGGCAGCATGCTCAGCTGAACGAGTTTGGTTTCTCAATCGTATCAATGAGAATCAAATATTCTCTTACTCCTTTTTTATTACTATTTTTTGCTACCTATTTAATGTAAAGCACTACAATGATTTTTCCAAATGTCAAAAATTATTTCAAGGAAGGGTAAACAATTTAAGGGAAAAATAAGTTTTAATCTAAGCAATGCTGCTTATGAGTATTATCAGGGCATGCGAGGCTGCTGCCCATACAACTCCCTTGAACAGTAGTTACCTCACACACTACTAATATTTATCCTTTCCAAGCACCAAGACTTTTAAAGACCAAATAAAACATCTCCAAATGTTCTCAAACCAATTACCAAATACACATATGTAAATAACAGATTTTTCATTATTTTGAAGCAAACCCAAACATTTAACAAGTTAATGCGTGTTTTTTGTATGGAATTATTCAATCTGAATATGCAAAGCAGTTTGAAAGCAAGAACTGCCCTTTCCTGAAAACAGATCAAAAAATTTTGACAGCTTCCTTTCCCTAGACAAGTACCTATTAGAAGCGAGTCACCTCAGATGGACTCCTTCATCGCATCTAATCTTAGCCATCTCCAAAGTCAAGCAGCTAGCCCAAGCTAGCTCCGTACGCTCTCTTTGGTCAACCAAGTAATGAAGCATCGCATGCAAGCAGTTCATTTATCTCTCAGCACGGGATCAATTACCTGCTGAAGGTGCCTGTGCCTCCGCATTGAATAGTGAAATTCTGGGTCCTAGAGCCTGGAGGTCCTAGAAGACTAGCTTACTTTTGACATCTAGTCCAAGGAGAGATGAACTCCACTTTTGAGCTCCAGAGCCAATGCACATAGGTAGAAGAAGCTGCAATATGATATACAGTAAGTTGCAGGCAGTGAAAGGAAGCAAGTGCCCTTCACCTTCTGCAGACTGCATTTAAAGCAGTTTTAGCATTTATCCATTTGTGTGTGCTGGAATAATTACCTTGGGTTTTCACAGTTGTGGGTAAAAGACTCTTCCTGCTCTTCCTTCAACATTTTCATTTGAAAGAATATGCATTAATTTGGCCTGGAAAGGAACTGAGTAGGATTTTTTTTTTCTTTTTACATCACCACAAAAAAGCAAGGGCTGATGCCCAGAAACATCATCCCTGCACTTAAGATGGACGAACCTCAAAGTTTTCATTCATCTTGCCCAAATAGCTTTAGTCTTCAGCATGTCTTACTGTGAGATTGACCACACATCACTTCACTTGTTATGGACAGAGAGGCACTTTTAACAAGCACGAACCCTGTATTTAATCGCATCTCACATTTCAATTTATCGTTCATCCTGAACAGAAGACCACCTTTCCATAAATCAGATCAATAAATATCTTAAAATATGTGACACAGAAGAAAGATTTTCATGAGAGCAATCCACCACAGGATGAATCTGTGACTTTGTTCCTTCTGATAATTTGCAATCTAATGCCCTTGAAAAGTGATAGTGCCAGTTTATTGTCCCAGTTCCTCTTTCCACCTCACATGTTTTGTTTTCCCTGCACTGCTCTTCATCCATCTGTCAGCTTCTACCAAATATTGGACATCTGACCAGAGAGGAGAAAGCAGAATGCAATAGAAGCTGATTATTAGCTACCTCCAAGGGAGCAGAGTGTCGATGACTGATCGTCATACATGCATGAGGAGGAAAGGAAACTGAGGATTGCAAGAGACATGATTTTTTACACTGGAATATTAAAACGCTCACCAAATCTTCACTTCTGGAAAAACTCCTTCTCTGCTCAGGTAATTTACATTAGGTATTATCTTATATGCTCAACAGGAGGCAATTATAACATACACTAATACAGAAAATCTTATTTTAATGCAGTATGTATGAAAATACCTGGATATCAAACAACTGAAACTGAAAGGCAGAAGAGAAATGTGTATTTATCATTTTGTGGCTAACAGATTTTTAAAAATCAAGTTAAAGCATACAGAACATGGAAATTCCTTTTCCTGCTTACTTGTGTCAATGTTTTCCCTCTGACTACTAACACACGGTCATTTTGTTTTTGTGTAGGATGAGCCATTCCTCTGTCAACTGAAAACACAGGTTTCAGGAAACATAGGTTTACAGTAAATCTTATAATGCCAATAGGTACTGTAGGAGAAGCAGCGGTGAAGATCCAAGGCTTTACCCTCTCAGGAGAGACTCTGACACTAGCACCAGGGTAATGTGCATTCTCTCCCTAACAGAGACAGGCAGCTTCCTCCCAGGGATGCATGCTTGCCTCTCTGTGCTTCAGCTGTTTGCCTCCCAGTTCATGGAATGGGGAACTCGGAGGGGTTCAGGTTTTTACCTGCATCAAACTTCAAATGGTAGGAGAAAATATATAAGTCATGCTTTTTTATTCCTAAATCTATCAGTCTAGTTTTGTCTCTTTGGATCTGAGAAGTTTTCCCTGAGAGTAAAACAGACCAACCTACATCACACCCTCAACCTCAGTACCATCTCTAGACACTCTAATCCCTTTGTCACAAAGACCCCAAACTCTAGAAGATAGATAAAGCGTGGCTGTTCACCAGTTCAAGAATGAAACTGATCCATTCCGCACACATTACAGCTATTGCTGTTTAGAGAATCTGAGGCTGTCAGAAAGAAGGAATTCTAGTTCAACGGTGTCATCAGTTGTCTCTATCGGTATGTTACTCCTTTCCACAGGGGATGAGTAATTCTGTACTTTGTGCCTTGAAGTTAACATGCTTGAAGTCCCGTTGCAAGAACATGCCTCTGGTTGTCTCATGCTGTCTGAACAAACAGTGTTCGGATGATAAACCCCCGGACAGGAATTTGGTCTGTGGTGACTAGGTAAGTAGTATTTAGTTGTCACTGGACTTGATTCCACTTGTTTATGAAAAGGGTTATTGGCTACGCAACAGGTCTGAAGACAGCTATTATTTTTGAATCCATGATGAAGGCCTAATTTAGCAATAAGGGGCTTCCCAACATTAACTTCCTTCCTTTCATCCATTGTTTCTTCTATTCCCGGATACTCATAGTGCAGACAAACAGTGAAAATCAAGTGCTCCTGCAATAGGGGGGGGTGGAGGGGAAGAAAAAAAAAAAAAAAAGAGGTTATACTTCCTCCGAATAACCAACACAGTAAACTTCTCTAGAGGGATAATTTACTGGAGAAGGAAATCAACCTTTTTAGGAGCTAAAGACACACACTAAGCAAGACTGTTAACCTCTTCAACTACATACATACGATGAGAAAGGCGGAGGTTCTGGACTGATGCTGCTTAATACACCTGAGAACTCAGTGGGATAGCAAAAGGAGTCTATTCATCATAAAGTTCCTGCGAACTCTGCTTACACTACAAAAGTAGTCAGCTATCTCCAATGGTCTCTCACCCTGACGCACTTTTCCTGGTCTTTTTAAGGTTATTTTCCCCATTTTCCTCCTTGACCCACGTGACAGACATTAGATGCTTCTGCCAGACCGTACTGTTCTTATAGCTCTTCAGGCTAGTCACCATAAGCTATGAAGGAATTAGGTGCATTCTATGCTTATTCAAGGTCCAATTTCCTTCTACTGCTTCAAATTCCACTTAAAACTTAGGTAATCCAAATCAACCTATCCCTGTACAGGAGATGCAAGTAGGAGACTTGAATCTCGTTTCAGTCTAAGCGCACAAGGTATCTCACTCGCTAGAAAATCTGGTATCCTACTACTGCAGGCAAGGACAGCAAGAGAACCCCCTCACAAACGTACCTGTTTGTCAGGGATGACAGTAAAATTAATCTAATGCCCCCTTTACTATCTGGAAGTACCTCAGAACTTGTTTATCTGAGTATCTCTTTTGGTTAATACTTGCTTACCCGACAGTTTTATTTCTAGAAGCATTTATATTTCACCATCTGCCAGAAATGTTGGGGATGACATACCAAGTGATGTCCAGCACAGATGTTCACAACATAGCGATACAGAAATAAACTTATGGTGCCATGGTATGCTAAAGTGAGAAGCCTTTAAAAACTATATGCCCAAGGGCACACGTTGGAATTGAAGGAGATGATGTAGGTCATTTTCATCTCCTACTGATGACTTCCTCAGACACAACTCTAAATTCTCATTGAGCTACAGGACATAAAAACATCCCCACAATGTGCACAAAGCGATCTTCACAAATATATTAACCTTTAGCTTTTGCAGTGAACTTAGCCTGGTGTAGAGACAGTGTTTGGGAAGGTCCTTTGATACTAAATAGCTTCCAGTTTCCTCAGGAGTTCCCTTATTGGCCTCTTTAGGATCCACATCCAGGTCCTATTCCAAGAAAGGAGAGAGAATTGAATTGAGTTCAGTTCTAAAATGGTTAGGAGCATTTCCTTTATCGATGTCAGCATTTTCTTCTTGTTAAAAGGAAGGAAAACACCAGTCTTGAATAACCTGGAAAAGCTGCTAAAACCGTTGTTAATCACAGGCAAAAGAGGTTATATTTGTTTAGGTTACCCTCTTTTGCTGATGCTTCCTTTCAAAGTTGCTGTGCTTCCTTAAAGGTTGGTTTCTGTTACCTAAATCCTACTATGAAATAAAGTACCATACCAGTAATTCTCTGGGCTATAAATACATACATTTATTATTCACATTAACTCAGATATTTTATTTATCAAGCATCAGATTTTATTTATAAAGCATCAGCAGTGTACTAAGCGCTTTACAGAAAGAACGTTTTCCGCCCCTTTCTTTCGGTTTTACTCTCATCCTTCACTTCACACTGCTCAGCTGAGTAATGTCAGTGGAACTGGAGAGGGGTCTACCCAGGTGCAAAGAACTGTAAAACTAAAGCCTAATAAACCTTGTCCTGCAAGAGATATTTGTCCTCAGCTCCCATAGGGACTACTGACACTAAACTTGTTTAATTACACATAAGTACTGGATATTAGATGGTGAAAAGCAAAGGAGACTGAAAAAGATCATCAGAGATTCATTTTTACATATTGATATAGATATTCATATATACAGATGTATACACATGCGCACCTGGTTTTAACATTTTACACTAATTTTATTATGAAAGGTGCCGTCTGACATGGACAGACCAGACTCTTGTCAACTAGACAACAAGTGGGCAGAGATCACTGAAACGCCAATAGGAAGCACTTACGAGCGCGAAGTCTGTAACGTAGGCTCTGCAAACTACTATTTCAGGTGGCTTCTTTACTATCCGCGTGTAGATTATCATAACATTGGAAAACTCTGCAGCAAAACCCAACTGAATCTGAACTCCACATTTGAATTCAAGATACATGCTTTCTGGAAGCTCTGCAAATAAATAACACATTATTACAATTCAAATACAACTTAACATATGTGGTTTTTAAATTTTTTTTTTGAAATATTCAAACGTTTTAAAGGTATAGACCTCTTCTTCCTGCCCTCCTCTATCTATCACTTAGGTATTTGTACTGAAGCAACTACTAGAAGCTAACCAGGCAGCAATACTGCTTTCTACGTGCAGTATCACACGCCAACTGACTGACACTACTTTGGAGAGCCGACTCCTCAAATTCCACTTCACAGGTTTTCTTCCAATCTCTGTGCAACTAGCACAGCAACGTTTAAGGTGGCTAGAATATAGCTTATTGCCCCAAGAATTTGTTCATGTTGCATCTTTAATCAAACTAGCAAGGTTGATGCAGTATACTTCCAACATACAATAGTCACAGTTATAACATTTTACGAACCTTTGAATTTGACAGCAGAACAAAAAAATTCAGGTTCACTCTTTTTCCTTCCATAGCCTCTGTACACATTCACAAATCCTAGTCCACAGCACTTCTTTATAATTTGTATCTTGCTCAAACCATAGGAAGATGTCTACGAGTGCTCAACGATCAACACTTTGTGACTGTATGCTCTGTACTGATTTTCTACTCCCATGTGAAGTGTATATTTTTAGAGGAATTGTTATACTGCAACAACATTAACATAGATATACCTTATACCTGTTTCACTTGTATTTATCTAAAAACTCCACTTCCATCACTGTAGAGGCCATTTTTTACTGCACAGGTCACCTAGTGATTTTAGGTGCTTTAGAATGAGATTATTGATGTCCTAGAAACGTCACAAAATCACCTAGAAACGTCACAAATATAAACAGAGCATAGGGTGACTATCCCAGAGGCGGACATCATAAGTGTCCCCTATTGTGTTTGTTGGTCTTAAACTCTGGATGTCATGTTTTTCATTACAATCTCATGTAGAGGTAACCCCCAACCCAAGAATGTTTGAGATCTGAAAATACTAATGAAAATTCAGATATGAACCTGAATTTCTTCTATTTCTATTCAGCATTACAGCCCACAAAAAAAAATATTTCTATGAACTAGAGATTAGTAAGAAGTACATCCTCATATTTTTGAGAGAACCGTTTTAGTTCAAGTGATGTAACATCCTAGTATGAAATTCCCACCTTGCAAGTAGGATCATCTAAAAGTAGACTGTACTGTACCATGAGCTTTGGCCCACTGTAGATTCCGTGCCAGGGACTCTGCAGAAGATACCGTTTGTTGAATGGCATCAGTTAATGCCCTTTTCTCAGACAAACTGCTGCGGATCTCCAAAGCTTGCTTGCCTTTGGTAAGGTGACACTTGCCCATATCTAAAAATAAGATGGAAATAACTTCTCTCAAAATCAATGCTGTGGAAATTCTAACCAAATTAACTATATCACTACAAAGCTGCCTGCTCACTACGATGACGACAGAGTCAGGACTTCCACGTAAATGTGCATTTTCAGAAGTATTCCTTTCTCGGTTGTTCATTCATTCAAGGCTAAAGCAGTATGCGGATATCTCACAAGAATTCTGAGGGTTTTGCTTGTGCGCTTTTCAGGACGCTCACACATTTTTCAAAATTGCTTCAAGCAATATTATGGCTCTGATTCAGCAAGCTTGTAATTTATATGACTACTTATAAGCATGTGAATAATATCATCGGAGGTGATTTCTAAAGAATGCAATAAGCTGGAGGCCAGTAACAAGTGCAGTACCCCAGGGGTTGATACTGTTCAATACCTTCATTAAGGAGCTGGGAGGAGAGGCTAATACACCACACAGTTGCACCGCAATTCAGAAGGACCTTGACAGGCTGGAGAGATGGCCAGAGAGGAACCTCATGAAGTTCAATAAAGGCAAGTGCAAAATCCTGGACCTGGGGAGGAATAAAGCCATGCACCAATACAGGCTGGGGGCCAACCAGCTGGAAGACTGCTCTGCAAAAAAGTCCCCGGGGGTCCTGGCGGACAACAGTTTGGACATGGACCAACAACGCACCCTCACCACAAAGAAGGCCAACAGCATCCTGGGCTGCATTAGGAGAAGCATCGCCAACAGGTCAAGGGAGGTAATCTGTCCCCTCAGCCCTGGTAAGGCCACACCTGGAGTGCTGCGTCCAGTGCTGGGCTCCCAATATAAGAGACGGAGTTACTGGAACGAGTCCAGTGAAGGGCCACAAAGATGATTAAAGGATTGAAGCATCTGACATAGTGAGGGGAGGCTGGGATTGTTTAGCCTGAAGAGAAGGCTTAGGGGCAATGTGTATAAATATCTGAAGGGAGGGTGTAAAGAAGAGAGTCAGACTGTTTTCAGTGGTGCTCCACGATGGGACAAGAGGCAATGGGCACAAGCTGAAACACAGGAAGCTCTGTCTGAATCCAAGGAAAAACTTTTTTACAGTGAGGATGACTGAGCACTGGAACAGGTTGCCTAGACAGGCCGTAGAGTCTCTGTCCCTGAAGATACTCAAAACCTGATTGGACATGGTCCTGGGCAACCTGTTCTAGGTGACTCTGCCTGAGCTTTCTGAGTCTGAACATTCCTTTGGAACACGTTCACACGTTAGCACTGTACCAACGTACTTGCTAAAACCCAATCCCTGGTAATACTGACAACAGTGATACCATCCCTGTTGCCTGATCTAATTTGTCCTCATACTTACAAATGCACACACACAAGCTGACTGCAGCAACTGCTACAGACCCTCTTTCTCCATTTGATTACGTGGAACCCTCACACAGCTGGAGCGCTACGCATCGCCTCTGAATTTCGTTCAGCACAGTCCTCAACTGTCCCCTGCCTTCTACATGATCTCCCTCCTTCTTCCCTTGTCTCGCTGTTGGGACACTAACTTCCGTTCCAAATCCCAACAGATGCTGCCTTCATACTCTCCCCCATGGCAAATCAATCTTTCTCTCTACTGTGAGTCCAAGAAGAATGAGGTAATTAAGTAATGGGTCATGTGCTGGGCTATCTAGAGCATGTGACGTTCATGTGATAGTACAGACTAAACAATAAAGGATGCTCAATCATATTTTGCATGACGTTTGAGGAAGTTTAGGGAGCGTGGCTACAGGCAGGACTGTGTCACGTTCTAACAGAGAAGCCATGAACAAAAAAGAAAGAGGAAAAAACCTCAGACGATACTGATCCACTTAAGAATACTCAAAAACAGTGACAAAAAGGGAGAGAGGGGAAAGAGGGTGAGGAGAATGTTTTTGCATGCTTGTCCAGTATACAATTTGTAAACTTCTTATACTAGTGGAAACAGTGATTGGTCTGTGGCCACTACAAAAATGTCAGTAGGTGTCCGTTTCTGCTCCTACTCCTGCCTTGAACAGGCTGATGATTGGAGAATGTAGGGCATTCATGTTTAAATACCTAATGACAGCATTGATGCTGGTTTGGGTGGATTATGAGGTTCACTTTCCACAAAAAGTGACTAGTCAGAATGTCTCAAAAGGCAAGAAAGATGGAGGAAACGAACGATGGGGCCTACTTCAACACAGAGTTTCAGTAATGCTGGCCTAATGCATCTGGGCCTAGGTACAGCTAGTGAGCATCTAGCAGGTGGAGCTTTACTAGAGCTTTGGGAAGGCTTCAAGGAAACACAGCTACAGCTAGCTCTAGTTTCTACTACTGCAAAGGAGAGGAAAGCAATTCCTCCAATTCTTCCTTTGTATTTAGGTAATGGCAAAAGTGCGTGCTACTATAAGCCAACGAAAAGTACAACTCTTAATGCAAAAAGCACTCTGCTTGACTGCATTGCAGGACAGCAGTCTTGCAAAAGAAAAACATTATCTCCCCATGCAAAAAAAAATCAATTTCAACTCTAAGTTTTGAGATAAATATTTTAGTCTTAACATCTACAGATCTCATTTATTTTTCTTCAGAATAATTTTGACATCTTCTTCTGAAGAAAATAAGCTTTATTAAACTTTTCACAGAAAATTCATGAAAAGTTTAATAGGTAACACTGAAAATATGAACAGTAAGGTTTTGTTTTTTTTTTTTTTTTAAATGAGATCTAGTCAAGCAACATATCAACAAAAAGGAAAAAGACAAGGAAGAAAAGCCAGACAAACAAAGAAATGGTGACTAAGAAGCACCATTGCAGTTCACATCCTGCTGGTATGCTGGATTCCTACTGCTATTCGTTTGATACAGATTGCATGCTTATGTTTTAGCTAGTCAACTTTTCCTCGCTAGAGCACTGACAGAAGTTCTATCGTTTTAATCTTTGCCTCCCATTTTCAGCAGTCTGTCCAGCTGACAACTCTGCTGTGCATTTAGGAGCCTTTTGTATTTTCTTCTGCTTTTTGGAGCCAAAAGACAGATTAGGCCAAATTCTGGCTTCCGCTACAGACCTGTCGTCCCACCAAGTATATTGGAAGCCACAGCAGAACTCGGTTGATTATGTAGATCTGAACTCCCTAATGTTAGGAAGCCAGACAGTGCCTTTATTCAAAAGGACAATGATTTACCTGCAAATAACGGGATAACATACAGATAGCTCTTTGTTAATGGCTGCATCTATTCTTCTGTGCTCTGAGGAAATGCTTGCACAGAAGCAATACGTTTTCTTTCAGTAGTTTTCATTTTACTGCTTCCCCTGTCAATTATAGGAGACAATAACTGAACAGAGTCCACGAAAACAGTGGATTGCCCTTTGTAGTACACTTACACTCTTTGATAAAGAGCAAATAATTATCATCACGGTAACATACTTTGAGGTAGGTAGCACTCAGCTGATCATTGAAATGAACATGGAAATGAGTGGACCACCAGAAGCATCAGATACCACAAGACAGAAGAGTAGTTTTAGTGGATGGACAATTCAAAGCTCCATGCGGAAAAACACTTCAGAGCAAGCAGTTTGTCATGCAGAGAGGTATACCAGAAAGAAGAGTATAATATTGATCTATCACTATCTTAAAGAAGCTCAGATCTCTTCACAAACGGTAAACTGTTCATCTGCTGCCTAACAGCACGCCCCTCTAGGTAAAGCTGACGTTTTAACAAAATGCAATAAGGCAGAGCTTAAAGCAGAGTAACACGTTTCCTGTACAAGAAAAACGACAGTTAAGCAAGGAAGTGTTTAAATAATGCAGGCTGAGAAGACAGTTAATGCATTAAGCTAGAGTTCACCTTCCGCAACTTCATCCAGCAGTACAGTAATCTTCTTGTCTTCTAACAAACGCTCCTTCAAGAACTTCATGAAAATTCCATTGGCTAACCCAGACTGCTGAATTTCAAAAGCTTCTGCTCCTTGGCACCTATGATATCACCAATATCAGACAGAGAAAGACATTATAAATGTTGTATGACTTAAGATCAACATGAGGACAAATGGAGTAAAGTTATGTTTGGGAACGTGGAAATCCTACGGTTAGAAAACCTTGCCCAGACTGACTGCAGCTGGCCTGCTCTTTGTAGCATTGCAATGTTCATTTGCAAACAATTCATGTGGGAAGATTTCACACTTACAACAAAACCATGCCAGAGATGATATCAAATTCAGTTTATATGAGGAGCTTAAACTGCTCATAGAAAACTATTAAAGCTCTGGACTATTTCTAGGAAATAGCTTTTGCATTTCATTTGAAAACTAATAGTGAAAGGTTATTTAAATTTCAGCATAAGTAACCTCTCCAAATAATTTCAATTGCAGTTGCAGCTTTTTTTCTTTATACCTAGAAAAGGAAAAGCAGCAGTCAATCTATAAGCCCCTCTTCCAATAATTTCTTTGGATTTTTAACACCTACGTGTTCGAGAAATTTAATTTGTATTAACACAGGAGGCACATGACCACATAGCGTGCAGCATGTAGGTTACAGCTCAACTGCTCCACAGTACTGGACCTTGGGCACAGCTACAGACTGGTAAATACCATTAGCAACATACAGGACATAATGAGAGAGACACCCACAAATTAGCATTATGGGTGTGTGGGTAAACTCTGTTTTTTCCTCCTCTGTGATTTTCAATCCCTGATACATAGTATTTAGATTATAATTAGAGCATTCCTACAATTAACTATTAAAATAAAAATCAGAAACACTGTTCAGCAACTTCTGAGCTGCTGACACAGTTCTATCGCTGGCGTTAGACTATATCCGAACGAGAGTATCATTTAATGGAAATCAGCAAACACGCATTTCTAGTCGGCTGGCTTCTAGATGCCTCCCTGACATTCCAGGGCGACTTGAATGATTCGAGGAATGAAGTCAAAAAGACAGTGAGAGGATACATACAAGGATAAGTTATTGCCCCTTTAACACCATAATCTGCATTTTTCTCTAAAAGATTAGCTATACAATCTTGGTGGTCTCTTCTGGCTTCAAAATCCCTGTGACGCAGCAAGAAAAAAGGTTTCCTTACGTTGCATATCCAAAAACAATGTTGGCTGTAACCTTCAGAGCATCTAAGATGAGAATTGTGTCATCAAATTCATTTCTGTAATAAATAGAAACATAAAAAAAGCTTTGAGAAATAATAACAGTAACAAACTCTACAGTTGTTCAAAATACCAACAGCTTAGTTCAGAAACACAGTATTTTGTCCCTTTTACAACTCTGAAAGAATCCTGACAGCTAAAGACAAAAAAACCAGCATCATCAAAACTCTTCATGAAAAGACTGCAAAGACACAGCCAGGCATTCATGCATTATCCAGACGAGGGCACACTAACGAGGGCATGCTGCATTAACCAGTATTGAATTTGGCAACAGTCTCTGCAAAAACGTCTCTGACGACTAGCTGTTTTAGGCCACAATGAAAAGTATTTGAATTCTTTCCTTGAAAACCTGGTGTCTGCAAAGTTGACACATGGGTTCTGCGGCAATATTTTCTATTCGCACAGCAGATTGTGAAGCTGAATTGGATCACGGGCATTTCATTAGCAGTGAAGTTTACAGGCTCTGCAAATACGAAGGCACTAGCAATTTTCTATTACGAAACATAGATGGTCCTTAGAGACCGACTTTCAGAAGCGCTGACTGAAGAGCTGATTTCAAGTGCAAGCTGAATCAGGCACAACATTTATCTTCTCTTAATAGTGAAAGAAAACAGTACTTTGTTCAGAAAAATCTGCTGAACCAGTTCAATTTTAAGCTCTAAATAAACACACAATTTCCCCAGCATAAAAGCAGTCCACAAAATCCATGCCTCTTAAGAGTTCTAAAATAAGTACTTCACTTCAGGCCTTCTGTCAAACTAACATGCCTTTGATCATATGGATTCTCCTTCCTCCCTGTAATGATAAAGATGGTTAAAAAGACAAGGTAAAATATTCATTTTTCTTCTGTAAGATGCCTAACTTCACTTTTAACTAACAAGGCTGACACTTTGTAACTTTTAAGGAAACAAACAATTAAAAACAAGAAGCAGAAATAAATCTCATTCAAATCAAGAGGCAAGTATCTGCATGTGGAAACAGAAAGCAGGATCACTAGCTTCACGTTTCCATCTGGGGCCAAAGGCAACATAAGCCTACGAATGCCTCCTATGGACTTTAGAGGGCCCAGGCTGTGAATTCTCAGAACCATGAGCTTTCAAGGACGCTGAATTCTCAGTCTAGATGAAAGTCCTCTCCTCAGCTTGAAGATCAGCTTTCTCCCAAGCTTCCCTGCTATTTTCCCAAAGTAGCCGGTTATTTTTCCTTTTTTAAAGTAGATCCAGATCTATTGCTTGGGTGAATAAACTGAACTTCACAGTTTGTTCCCAAAACTACAGTCACTATACCTCCTCTCTACCTCATGAAGCAAAAATGCCTCTCAAACATGTAATGTTAGTTTTCACTATTCATGAACGATCAGATTGGATTAGTTCTACCTTTTCCGACACATATCCAGTAGGAATACATTGAGTCCTGTCTCTTTTTCCTGCATCAGCTTGAGGACGTTCTGCACACACAGACAGTTTGCAGACCGGTAGGGATTTGGAGCATCAATAGGGACCATGAAACTGTTTCCATAGTTTTCGTAGCCATGGCCAGCGTAGTATAACAAACCTGAGAGGTCAAAATAGATGGGATTGAAAACACAGTTCCAAAAGTATATTAGAACATTTCCAACACGTTAGCACGGCCATGGTTGCACACGCTGTGTCCACAGCATGCGCCTGTGGGAGAGGAAGATCATTTAAGCTACTCTAAGCAGTTTTTCTGTATTGATATGCCTTTGCTAATACAGGAAGGAAGGAAGGAAAAATACAAGGATAACATCAACCTCATAATACACAGACATAAAAATAAAAGTTTTTGCTCATGAAATAAGATCATTCAAATACTTACTGTATAATAGCACATGTAATCAAAGACAGCTAAACAGAACAACTCTTAAAAATGCTTTAAGTAGTTACAGCCTCTAACAGAAATAACCAATTGTGTTCTACACGCCAGAACTCCCAGCTATGAGCAAGGGACTGTGCCTACTGGAAACAGCTTCTCCACGTGTGCAATTACAAAGCTGTGAGTAGTAGCGAGTTAGTGCAGATTTTATAGAGAGAAAAAGATAACCCCAAACAGTGTTACCGGAATTTTTTTTTTGCTTGAAAGATGCTGTAATCTCCTCTGAAAATTTTTACCTACTGTTACCACTGACAATTCTTAGAATTACTGTAACTAGAAAATCAGAGGAAAATCTTGCTTACGCTATGACAGCGAGTTTTCAGTTTTGCCGTTTCTTCTGTACAGTCAGTTTCTCCATTTGTTTTTATCTTTTGTATAGGAAGGGCTAAGAAATATTTTTACATTTAGAGAAAGGAATGATTATTCCATGATCATATCTAGTAGCACTCCAGAGCACATTCCTATTATTCAAACTACCAGCAATTCACTTGTAGTTGATCACATCTACATCTCTTCAGTTTCATGATCCATAACTGCTAGACAAGCAACTTCTTTCAGTGCTCACCTAGATATAACAGATTATCCTAAAATAATCTCCCTCACATGTCAATACATAATGGTCTACAAGAGCTTTAAGACTTAAGAACTTCAAACAAACATGCAATAATTTTCTATGGGAGAAAATATATTATACAATAAAAAAAAATAAAGCTTCTCTTAACCCTAAAAAAGGGAACAGCAACTTAAGATTTAGATTCTACTTTTATGAATAAATACATCAAATATTAAATCCACATCAATTTTCTGTAAAATTAGATGATCTCAGCATTAATTTTCATTGCCATAAAATACAGTTACCAGAAGCTTATATGATTCAACAGAATTTTCCTTCTGTCTGTTCCTCATACTGCTTTTGCTTGTCTATGGCAAGTTCCAGCTTCTAAAAATAATTTTTAGTTATCTGTACATAGCTGTCTATGGGTCAGATCTTCAATTAGTGTAAAGTGCTGCCGCTGAATCAAAGTCAACAGAGATATGATTCTTATATCATTATTCTGACTAAATGCAGCCATGAAAGTTGTCGCTATAAAACTTAAATATTCAGTAATGCAAAACAACCCTTGCCCTAACATACTAAAACGATGTATCTTTAAGTCAGTCTGCGTAGTTAGGTATGCTAGATGATTTTTCCCTTTACATTACAGATAAAGGCAACAAATGAAAATACTTCTCTCATGTAGCCCTGGATACCCTGTGAAGGAACACCAAGAGATGGTCACAGACCTTCAGACAAAGTCCTGGGTTCTCTTTTACTTGTAAGCTCTCAAGTCATTAGCAATATGCCAAGACCTTGCAATCTGCTCCATTCAGTCAGCATAGCTCAACAACTTCTCACGGGAAACATGCATAGGAAAGATAAGCACCCAGCAAGCGCATGCAAGGTAAACCACAGGATGTAAGGATTCACTTGAAACAACAGCCTAACGGTGGCTTGCTTGCTAGAGTCGTGCAAACCGACAACAATTTATTCAATTAAAAAATTAAAGTTCTAAAGGGCACAGAGTTAACTGTGTGTGATTAAAAACTTCAACGTATAGAGTTTAATGGGCCAAGTATAAGATTCCTATGGTTTTCTGAGATCAGGAAGTTTCAAAAGAGTTAAAAAAGGAAGTTAAGTGCCAAGTGCCTGAGTTCATGTCAGGTTCTAAGTTAAAGGAAAACTACTAAATTTGATTTCTACAGTGTTTGGATCTGGACCTAAATTGAGATTATATGTTGGAGAAGTGATAAAAATCTGTGTTAAAGTTAAAAAAAAAAAAAAAAGTGCAGAATAAAATCAGAAAAAAAGATATGAGCTTTGATAATACTTTCATTTAAATTTTTCAACGTCAAATTAATGAGTTATAGCCATGTTAGAACATTAATCATGCTCCCGCCACCCTCTCATTACCTTGTTTTACTTCATAACCCTAAAGCTAACTAACAACTTGCTGTCTTTGAATTGACTCATCAATTAGAAAGTGAAACAGTGGACGCAGACTATTTTAAGATATTATACAGGAAGCAATACAGTCCTTAGACACACCAAACGCTTACCTAACAGCGTCATCTCCGATAGCTAAAAGTTACCTTTTTGCAGACTGCTCGACACAGATCATGCTAAATGAGGGCAAATCAGAATCTACTGCCAAATGGCTTCCTGCCAACAGACCACACCACCACTTTGAATGCAGATAGTAAACAACATATAAACATCCATCCATCCTAAATAAGGAAATAACTGCTAAAGGAATAGAAGATAACAAGGAAAACCAACAACAACGCTGTCTGAGTCAATCACACACAGAGTCAGCTCACCCAAGAAGAAAATATTGGCCAAGACTTCTCTAGCACACAGCCCGGTTACTGCTCTGCTGGTGACCTCCAACTTTCCTCTGCTTTTTGCCTGCTACCAAGGGAACCTGCACTGCAGCAAATGCCGACGGTTGTTTCCGCTGGCCCTGGGCGACAGTACTGGGTCAGCCCTGACACTGCTACAGTTGCACTACAGGGAAAGCTAGAGGGAGAGAAAGAGCAACCGGCTTGATGTTCGTTAATGATGTGCCAACTGGACTTTTGGAATTTATGAAGCTTCCCCCATGGTGACTATCAGCACACCCTGAACGCTGCTTCTTAACGTGCCAGGCTGGCAATAGGTGTCTTGCAGCAAACTAGAAACTGCAAATAAGAACTCATCAGCCAGCCAAAAGGCATTCATGAGCCACAACAAGCACCCACAGCTACAAAATATCTCTACAACATACCACAGAGTAATGACATTTACATTCTCAGTTTTGAGATAACTGTCCTTGACACCCTTCATGCTGGGGAGACTTTTCCATGTCAGAGAACACTAAGAACAGAGGCAGTGAACAGACACAGCAGTTTGCGCAGCAGTTTGCGCAGCAGTGTCTGGGCCCTGCCTGGGCCTTTTGTGGGCCTTGTTGGAAGTTGTGGAGACTTTCTGGGGACCCCCGAGGAAATAGACGGTGCTTGCTGCTAGCAGGAAGGGAGAGCTGGGCAAGGACTCCTGCAGGGGGCCTTGACTTCACTTCTCCTGGGAAGTCCTAGCTAGGTGGGGCTGCTGCTAACGAGCTCTCTGGGCTGCCCTGGTCACAGGGAGTTGGGGCTTTTGTTTCAGGTGGCTCCTGATTGGGCCCCCTTGGGAGTCACTGCTAGGCAGAGGCCTAGATAAGAGCCAGGCCTAGAGCGCAGCAAACAGAGGCAGCGGTTTGTGCAGCAGGCAAAGAAGGCACCTCTCCATTTTGCACAGCGGTGTGTCCTTCCCCGGGGCATGGTCATGACACGCCGCAGAGCACGTTCCCCAGTGGCTGCTGGAGGTGCTGCATCAGCTGTGTCTGAGGCTTCAACCCAGACAGACCCTCAGACAGCAGATGCAGCTCTGCAGGTGTCAGGCTGCAGGGAGTGCCTGGGGCCTCTCCGTGGGGCCTGGGCTGACAGTCAGCTCTCCTGCGCGAGGTGTGCTGTGGTTGACCAGTTGTATCGCCAGATAAAGGAGTTACGGGAGGAGGTTAGTAGGCTGCGTAGCATCTGAGATGAGCAGGTGATTGACAGGGTATTCTCGGAGACTGTACAGCTCCAGGAGTCCCCACCCCACACTGCAGCGGAGTTGCCAGAGGCTGTGTAACAGTACAGCCTAATACTGTTGAAGATGGCTGGAAACTGGTGACCTCTCATAGAAGGAGAAATGCTCTTCCTCCTCCTCAAGACTTAACCTTGAAGAACAAGTGTAGTGCCCTCCAAGCTGAGGAGGAGCTGGGCATGGCTCCAAGGGA